ATCGTGAATGGGTAAGGCACGTGGTTCTCCAAGTAAGAATCAAATATCGCGGCCGCCTTTATGAATCAAACGTCGCAGCCTTGGTGAAACCGATCGGAAATCGGTAAGACCAATGGTGACTCGACGGATAACCAACAGGAAAGTCTACGGTGAGAACCAATGGACAAAACAGATGTTGGACCCGCGAGCGAACCAATGGCCAACGGACGAATGATTTCATGGGCTAGCCTACGATAATCCGATGGATGAATCCACGGACCCTTGGGTGTGATAATGATATTGTTCGGATCGCATGGATGGATCGATAAGCCGAAGGCGTTACCGACCACCATGGACCGGACGGGTAAACGGTTAATGAACCGTGGGCGGTCGTAGTGATAAACGACCGGATCGGAAACATGGATGGTTCGATAAGCCTCGGGCTTGATCGACCACCATGAAACCGAAGGGGCGTACGTTTGGAGGACGGATGGACCAATGAGCCAAGAGCTTGATTCGGCCACCGTGAACCAAGGGAAACGTACGATCCCCAATCTCTATCGTGGGACTTAGACCAGTGGGGTTGGTTGGATGTATGGCTAAGTAACGATAGAGATTGGTCCATCAATACACGATTGGTTAAGAATCGTTGTACGGATGGAATAAGGCAACAAAGAGGGCTTAGGGAAGGATCAATGGACGGATCAAAGAAGAATCGAATCCGCATGTTGGCCAAGGTATGTAAACGAATCTAACTTATTAGTTAAGCTAGACGTTTGGGAATTGGCCGTTGGATTAAGGATAAAAGAATATGCAATCGTTAGACTTGGAATGGTTAGCGAACAAATTGCATGACTTGGCCGAGTAAATGATTTGTCTAAAGTCTAAGGGACAAAGACGATCAAACCGGTACAAGGGATGGTTGGAATTAGACCAAGGGTAGAAAGACTTCCGCTGGGTACTAAGAAAGCGATTATAGAATTAAGCCTGGTAAAGGCAATTCTATGTTAAATCGCGAAAAATATGGAGGTTCGGCCGGGAAGAGGCGCGAGCTAGTGTCCATGGTCGCCGGACGCCGAGACGTCCGGGACGGGACTCTACAGAACATGGCGGATTATTTGCTCTAGGATTCGATGGGAACCGCCGGAGGGTTCGACGACTTGATTGATAGTTCGGATCGATAGCTCGATTATGGGATCGATGGATCGTCCATTCTATAAATCGGATCGGTAAATCTAAGATTGTCAATATGGAAGTATTGACGAATCCAATGATGGACCGATAGAATGATATGGTTAATGGGAAGTTAATCGGGAAAGGTGTTCGAGGAAGCACGAGGATATGTGCAACCGAACACACCCAAGGGTCGCCCATATATGCAATCTCACCGAGAAAGGGAGAAAGCACCAAGAATGGGTAAGGAACGTGGTTCTCCACACAAGGATAAATGACGTGGCCGCCTTTATGTATCAATCGCCGTGGCTAATGGTGAAACCGATCCAAGATCGGTAAAACCAATGGTAACTCGACGGATAACCAACGGGAAAGTCCACGGTGAGAACCGATGGACAAAACGGATGTTGGACCCGCGAGCAAACCAAAGGCCGGTGGACAAATGATTTCATGGGCTAGCCTATGATGATCCGATGGATGAATCCACAGACCCTTGTGTGTAATAATGATATTGTTCAGATCACATGGATGGATCGATAAGCCGAAAGCTTTGCCGACCACCATGGACCGGACGGATACACGGTTAGTAAACCGTAGGCGGTCGTAGTGATAAACGACTAGATCAGAAACATGGTTGATTCGATAAGCCGAGGGCTTGATCGTCCACCATGAAACCGAAGGGGCGTACGTTTGGAGGACGGATGGACCAATGAGCCAAGAGCTTGATTCGACCACCGTGAACCAAAGGGAACGTACGATCCCCAATCTCTATCGTCAGACTTAGATTAGTGGGGTTGGTTGGATGTATGGCTAAGTAACGATAGAGATTGGTCCATCAATACACGATTGGTTAAGAATCATTGTACGAATAGAATGAGGCAACTAAAGGGCTAAAATAAGGATCAACGGGTGGATCAACAAGGAATCCAATCTGCATGTAGGCCAAGGTATGTAAACGAATCTAACTTATTAAGTTAAGATAGACATTTGGGAATTGGCCGTTGGATTAAGGATAAAAGAATATGCAATCGTTAGACTTAGAATGGTTAGCGAACAAATTGCATGACTTGGCCGAATAAATGATTGATCTAAAGTCTAAGGGACGAGGACGATTAAACCGGTACAAGGGATGGTTGGAATTAGACCAAGGGTAGAAAGACTTCCGCTGGGTAATAAGAAAGCGATTATAGAATTAAGCTTCGTAAAGGCAATTCGATGTTTAATCGCGAAAAATATAGAGGTTCGGCCGGGAAGAGGCACGAACGTGTGACCATGGTCGCCGGACGCCGAGACGTCTAGGACGGGGTCTCACATATAGGCACACAACTTGTGATTCCAAAATCCTAAAATTCCTAAGTCAAAAAGATAAATAAACAAAATAAAGAGTAAAAGAAGAAGCTTTATTTGCAGTAAGATCGGCACAACTGTTCTCTTCTTCACTTTCCTTTGAACAAGACATCATCACTTTTGTTTTGTATACCTGCATGCCTCAGATATCCACAAGGGTTTTCTAGTTTTGGATGTCTTCATGTGATATAGTCGTGGTTACTGATATCGAGGGGCGTGTTCGTTTCTTAGTCGCTCAAGAAGCGACATCGACATAAAAAATTAAGTGTTTTATAGTTCCCTTCTCTTCTTCCTAATCTCTTTTTTCTCATCTTCGAGCTCGTCGTGCCGAATGATGAGCTGAAGAAAATAAAACGCTTCGTTTAGCAATGACAAAAGTAGTCAAAAACACTGGGGAAAACAATACCTTGTTAATAAATTCCTCAGTCTTGACACGATCTTGAGCTGATAATCTCTCGATTAATACGATCGGAACCTGAATGCTGGTTCCCCTCCTCAATATTCGTGACTCTTCCGGTTCGCCAGTTCCTCCCGTTTTTATGAGCTCGATGTCTGGCGCTCCCGGAAGATCATCACTTACCGCTCTGAATGAGTCAGAAGGATTCTCTAAAGAATTACCTTCCTCGAACATTTTTGTAGAACTATTGTTGATAAAACTCAATGATAAACTACACCCATTTTATACTCGAAAAATACTCGACCACATTTAAGAGGGTTAGTTGACGATTTTCCAAATCTGAAATTACTACTTTTATGGAAAATGAAATCGAGTTAATTGCTAATTGTATTCCCTAGATTAATCGCATTAAATAAGATTTAAGTAAATCGGCAAATTTAAAGCAAAAGGGGAAATATGATTACTGTTGCTGGGCCTCAAGCCCAGCGGCATTTTAGAAACAAAAATAGGAGGATGTTCGATCAAAAGTCTTCGCCCGTTAATGATTCCAGCGAGGTGGAGGATCCCGAACAGCTTTCCGAGGATAATCCCTCGTCAGAGGACAAATCCAGAGGACCAGAGAAATCATCGATAGCTTTCGTCTCCGGTTCTTCGTTCTCTTCTGTCCTTAACATCGGAAATCTCCGAAACTCTGAAGAACACGAAACAAAAGAGGACCCATCGCTGGTTGCCAATGATAGATGAGAAAATTTATCCAGCATGCGGAGGAATCTTCGGAGACAAGTAGGAATGATGGCCACGATGTCTAAACTGTTTCTCTCCCATTCATGCGGTTCAGATTCCAGGCGAAAGATCTCTCTTTCCATCCTCTTTATGCGCTCATCAAGAGGACGGCGCCTTCTTCCGATTCTTTGTCTCTTATCACATAAAGCTTTATGTCTCCCGACGATCTGTTTGAACAAACATTTTGTCAACTGTCCGAAAAAGAATTTACAATCTTCCGAAAAGACTAAAAATTAGAAAGGGAACCTTTTTTCCAGGAAGTCATAACATTTGACCCTTTCTTTCCCCGTTCGGAAATGAAAAAACGTGGGGTGAATGACTCCCTTTGGAGAGAATCCGTCTTCGAATTCAAACAATGGATCCCCGTTTGAAGTTGTTATTCTTGAGCTTGATCTGAAAGAAGATAGCGGCATATTTCAGTTTTTTCTTATTATAAACTGTGAGAGTCTTTCAGAATTCTTTTAAAGGAGAAAGATGTTCGGATTTCTTAAAAAATAATAATATATTGCGGGCCTGCTAGAGCAGACTTCGGGTCCGATTAAAACATGACCCAAAATTTTCAAAGCCATTTTTAGGCTATGATCGAAACCATTGCCTATTCATTTTTACGGCAAAATTCTCATGAATTATAAAAATCTTATCCGATAAGAAGCTTAAGCCGAGCTCCATCCTCGCTTTCGAGAGACCGAGGAAAAATACTTGTTAAGATTATTTCTTTAAAAAAGGCAAGTGAGCCTGATCAGCTCATCTCTCACAATTCATAAAACCTCTTTGGTGGGCTAGGACTTGCAAACCTAGAATCGCATCCAAACGTTTTACTTAAATAAAAAAATCATATGCAGGAGCATGTACATGATTGTGTTCAGTCACACTAATTAAACAAAATACACTACAAGAAATATCCACATTGATAGCACATGATGATAGCTCATTTTCCGTAACTGCTATGAAAGATAAGTTTTTGTTTTAAATTATATATAATAGCACTGAAACAACGCTAAATTAGAAAATCACCAAATAGAAAACTAAAATCACTCGTTCCGCCAATACTTAGGCGAAATAATTCACTTAAGCGCCATATGTTTCAGATCCAAAAACTTAAAACGCCAAAGTCCAAAAATTAAAACCCTTCACTTTACCACAAAATAAAACATATCTCTAAAAAATAAAAAAATCCCAAAGTCGAAGAAAGAGATTTGTTGGATCTGAGACATAGCCATAGCCTCCAGCGTGAAGCTCGTCGCCGGCCTCCACCGTGAAGCTCGTCGCCGGCCTCCACCGTGAAGCTCGTCGTCACGACGGAACACAGTAAAGGTACTTTATTCAGATTTCTTAACTTATGAACCCTAAACTCATCTTCACCGTCATATTCCCGATTCTCTCCTCGGATTTCTCAATCGTCGCCTCCGTAACTTGCACCGCCGGAGCTGAAACCGGAGAAGAAGAAGCATATCTTCACCGATTTTGAAAATTGCGTTTTCGGTTTCGGTTAGGAGTTTGGTGAGAGCTGGAGCAGATTCAAGCCATGGATCTGGTGGTTGGTAAGTTTGCTGAGAGCTGGAGCAGATTCAACCCTTCACTATCAGCAATGGCGAGTGTGTACATACCGGTACAGAATTCGGAAGAAGAAGTTAGGGTTGCTCTTGATCAGCTCCCTCGTGACGCTTCTGATATCCTTGATATCCTTAAAGCCGAACAAGCTCCTCTCGATCTCTGGCTCATCATCGCGGTTCGTTCTTTTCACTCAAATTTCTAGGTCTTATCTTTGGATGCTCTCTCGTTTCTATTTCTTCTGATTTTTTTGGTTTCATCTCTGGTGAAGAGGGAGTACTTCAAGCAAGGAAAAATTGAACAGTTCCGCCAAATATTGGAGGAAGGCTCAAGTTCTGGTATGCTACTGCTTAATTAATAGTGTATTTTAGTGTTGCAATCATTCAGAATTGTTTAGATTTCGGTTTTAGGATTTTTGGGAACTGAAGAAAACTCATGTTTGTTTCTTTTTGGCAAGACATTGATGAGTACTATGCTGATGTTAAGTACGAGAGAATAGCAATCTTGAACGCTCTAGGTGCGTATTACAACTACTTGGGTAAAACTGAGACAAAACACAGAGAAAAAGAGGAGCAATTTATCTTGGCAACACGATATTATAACAAAGCGTCGAGAATCGATATGCATGAGCCTTCCACTTGGGTTGGGAAAGGTACTACCAGGTTCTTATTCGTTTTATACTCTATGTTTACTAGATACTCTTTGGGAAATGTAATTCTTAGCCTAAGGACGGTTATCAAATATTCTTATTTTCTTAAAGCATAATTATGGTTGCCAAATTTCTTGGAGTGTAACTGTGCTTGAGAAAGCTCTGGGTGAAAATTTGGGAATTAAATTTTTGGGTACAGTTAGGTATTAAAACTTTCTTAGTTTCTTAAAGCACAATTAAGTACATCTTGGAAACAAATTTTGGGTTAGCTGGTATATCAGATTTCTAGGTAATAAGAATTTGATTCTGACGCTTTCTCTCCTGTTAACCAAGGCCTGACACAGTGTTAGCCTATTATTTAGTTTTCTGCAAATTAATAATTTGCTCTACCTACAGGCTTCTGTAGAATTTAATCGTGGACGTTTTTCTGAGTTAAGAGATGGATGATAGTGAAGGTAACTCATTTTCTTGGAATCTGTTTTCAGAATTTGCTTGAGTATTTCTTCTTGTTCTTTGTGTCACTCTTTTTGTTCTCTTGCTTCTTCTCTGGCCATAAACTACTCTTTCATGGTAAGATTTGTGAACTAAGAAAATGTCTTTGTTTGTTTGTTTATCTCAGTTCTGGAGATTAATTAAACAATCTCTTTTTTTTGTTTTGTAGGTTCTGAATTTTTACCTCTTGATATATAGCAAAACTGTAAGCTTACTTTGTCTTAGTTTTTGGTATGTGTAAAAAAGCTACTGCAAAGGCTATTGTTATTAACTGGATTTTGAATCAAATGCAGCTTACATGAAAAATCATATGTTGGTTTCATCGGAGATTGATATAGGATTGTTGTTGTTTTGCCTTTCTTATAGGGTGAATGAATATTTTGACGCTAGAGAAATGGAGTATGTGCGTTTAGTATCCGCTGTTTGTTTGATATATGGTGAGATCACATTTGTTTCGAAATTATTTTCTTTTGGTAAGTTGTGAAGCAGAGAGAGATGGAATCCTGGAGTCTCTAGAAGTGACGTAGTCAAGGTTGCTGCAGCTTCTGCAAAAGAGATCTCAGGTTCCTATATTTCCCTCTTTCCTCACGGTTTTATACATAGTCATTATCTAGTAGAAGCATTTGAAAAACTAACTTGTTTTACTTATACAAAGACAGCCAACGACAAAGAAAAGAACCAAGCTATAGAGGATTTGGAGCTGGCAGTGAAGTGTGGACATCAACCTAAGTTCTTGGAGGGAGAGAAAGAGCAAACCAATGGAGTTCTTCGTTTAGTCCATCTGAATTACAATACTTGTCTTGTTTAAGACCTTGTTTGAAATGGTGTTGAATACTAAACTATGTATATTTTGATGATCTATGGAAAGAAACATGCTTTTAATAAATTGGTTTTGTAGCATATAATTAATTGGATTTCAAATATATATATTTTAATTGCATATGACGTATTAACGTATAAAAAGGTGCTATAAAAAATTAAAGCATTTTAATAACGCTATGGTAGAAAGTATCTATAATAGCACGAAAAATGACTTAATACATAATTAAAAAAAAAAAGAGTCGTTATATCAAAGCGTTTGCCTAATGCTATGGTAGAATGCTCTATAATAACATACGGAAAATACGCTATCGTATGTAGGGGGTCTACCATAACAGGGGCATAAGACAGCGTTTATGAAAACGCTATTAATGACATATAATAGCACTTATCTCTTGCTAATAATGTAGATATTTCTTGTAGTGATATTTCCGTCAAACGGAGTACTACTCATGGACTCAACAAAACAATTTTTTAAGAGCGATCCTCTACCTCTGGAGAACCCTCGCATGGTCGAGAACCTTCGCCAACCTCGAATTGAGAAGGAGAATATCCAAATACCAAAGAAAATTGTTTCAGATCGAGAGTAGGACGGGAAGCCGAGGATAACTCGGATTCAACTGCAGCGAGTTCGGCAGTAACTTCCCTCCTCTCATTCTCGAACGAAACTCTTCCATTCTCTAGTCCCCCAATCAGGTCTAGATTACTCTTCAGCTCGGCTCGATCGGATTGAAGTTTAGTCCAGACTTCTTCGTCTTTGATAAACTTCATGATAGACTGAATAAGTTGCCTACCAAAGCCCCTCATCTCTTCTCGAACGTTATGTTCGACTTCGGCGATCTCGCGAGCCCTAGTCTTAGCTAAAAAGTCGGCCTTATGGCTTGCTTCTTCGGACAAAGACGAAGCCTCTTCTAACTCAGTCTTCAAGCGAAGAGCATTAGACCTCGCAGAATCTCTTTCAGCATTTGCAATTCTGAGGCGTTGCTCGTTAGCTGCCAAAGTCTTCTTCATATTCTCGAAGGACGACTCGAGGGCTTTCGCCTGCTCGAGTCGGTCAGACTGATTGACTAGTTTAAGTTCATTGATCTCCTTCTTAGCCTTTGCGGTCTCTCTCATCGCTTGGTGAAGAAGATTCTCATAATGGAAGATCATTCCATTAGTCTCCGTAAACGCCTTCAAAGTAAAAAAAAATGTCATTCAGACAAAAATCTTTTACTTAATAAAAAAGGGGTTATCATAGTAAAAATCGAAAAGTTCCGAACCTGGGATAGGTGGCAAGCTCGATTAACATACATCTGACGGATTTCCGGCCTCCAAACTGAAAAAGGGGGAAAGGATGCCCCTCCCCTGGTTTGAAAACTCCGGAAGATGTCTCCAATCTCTTCTCCGCCTACAGAACAAAGGAGAATAGTAGATTAGTAAAATAGCTGCTGTCTGTAACATGTCTTGCTAAGGCTCGCGTTCTAAAAAACTTACCTGTTTCAGAAATCGAAGCTGGTGAAGGGTTTTGAGTACTAACACTCAACCCTTGAGACGAAGGAAACTCCGGTCTCAATTCATCGATTTCTTCTGGAATTACTCTATCGCTCGGAGAGGGAGCTCAGGGTCTAAAGGTTCCGAAGAAGGGAAAACAAAATGCAAAGGGCTAGGAGCTCGTAACGGAGAACTAAATCTGACGGTTTTGAGTTTCTCGTTCGACAGAGTATCTGAGTCTGGAGCTTTCCTCTTTGTATAAGGAGAAGAAGTAACTTCTCTCTCTCTCTCTCTCTTGTACGGAAGGGCAAATAGCGGTAGCAATTGGAGGGTTGTTAGGAATCTCGGCTACGTGAGAATCCACCGCAATTGACAGAGCTGCTTCTAAAGAACCATCATCGACCAAGAGGATCTTCCTGTGGAAGTTACCAACCCTGGAGATTGCGGTGATCCGTTTCTTTTTCCTAATTTCGGATAATTGATCCTTAAGAACCTTAGTCTCGGCAAGGATTTTTCTTCAGAAGGAGGATCGAGGGGATGAGTTTGATCATCTTTGATAGCGAGCCCCGCATTATGAATACGTTGAAGGGTGAAGGAATTCCAATTTGTTTCACCCTCGGAAACGATTCGAAAGAAAGATAAGAAATCAACAGTTGGACGGGGAATAGTTTGATTCCCTGAAATAAAATGTTGAGTTAAGAATTCTATTTCTTTCACACAGTACAGTAAAAAATAGTAAAGGTTGGTTCTAACCAACTTTAGACGACCAATTTGGGAGAAGAAAACCGGAAAGACCTTGGACGGAGTGAGGATTGACTCGGAAAAAGAACCAGTATTTCCTCCAAGGCCCATCATGCGAGGGCATTCCGTCGATCAGGTTACGGTCAAAGATAGGATTCATAGAAAAAATACCCGCCGCTGTGGATTCACGGGCTCTACATACCCCTAAGAGTTCGCTAGTGGTGAGAGAAAACCCTGCTTCTGCCGAAACAGTTAGGGTACTCAGGACATATCGGAGAAAGTTGGGAGCCATTTGGGGAAAAGCAATCCCCAGATGGAGGAGGTACAAAAGGAGAACTTCCGGTATGGGAAAAAATAAACCGCAACCTTTGAAATAGATTTCGTAAGCACAACAGTAACCTTCTCGTACTATTTCCGGAGACTCATTGGGTTTAGGAAAGGAGAATTCTATTTCCTGAGGGAAATTGCAGAGGCGACGAAGAGCGCCAAGGGAAGCATGGGTCGATTGAGACCTAAAATGCGGACCAAATTTATCTCCACTTTGGGTGAAGACTTCGTTCCCTCTGGGAACAGGGATTCCCTGACTATCATCCTCATTGTCTGAGACATAAACGGCTGGGGAAGACATTTTTTACTAGAAGGTTTTTCTTTCTCTGGTTTGGTAAAAGCTTTTTGGGGTAAATGTACGCTGTAAAAGCCGTCGTTCCATTTAACCCTATTTAGCGGAAAACCGCCTTGGAAATATTGGGAAGCGGGACAGTTTTCCCCGCAGTATTAATATAAAATTAAGAAATTAATGATGACGGTTGTCAGGGAAATCAAATCATTTGATTATCCGAGATCGGCGTAACAGCGTAAAACAAGGAGAAATTCCAGAATGTTAAAGATCTCGATTCATTAATTACTATTTACTTAAGTCTTCCAATCAGCTCACAAGACTTGGGGGGCTAAATGTTGGGGTCGGATCCCACACATTTTTGGTAGGATCCACTTGGATCTTTCCACGTCGTTATTACACAATAATCCTCTCGGATTTCAAGATATTTTATTGGACTTGACCAGTTGGGAGTTCGATTCAGTTTACTAAAAGAGTTCGATCTTTACCAGCATGGAGTTCGCTCTTATTCAACATACAGTTCGCATAGAGAAAGGCCGAAGCGAGGAGAATATTGTTCGAGGCTCGCAGTAGCACCAAAGCACGGGAGTTCGGAGTCAGCAAGAAAGAGTTCGGAAGGCCCATGTGAAGCCCAAGACAGTTCAAGTTCAAGCCGTTTCGGTCAAAATGTAACTTATATGATTAATGCGGATCAATATGATTACGAGTAGTAAATAGCCGCATTAATCATATTTTCTCTATAAAAACAACCTCAAACGCATGTGTTTGGGGGAGATCTTTGACTTACTACTACGAAGCAATACAACATACTTTTTTCTCTTAAAATTTCGCAAGGCCTTTTGTACTTCGTTCTTATCAAATTTCTTTACTTTATTCTTTTCTTGGTTAATTTCCCTTTCGAATCCTCATATTCATTCGTTGATTTTAAGAGTTTTTCTCCACTAAAATACTTAAAGACAATTGAGTGTGAATCCTACATCCACAATACCCAAGCAGCCACATCATGTTTCATATTGGTCCAATTATAATACCGCTTTAGGTCATGATACATCTTAGTCGTTCCAGGGTGAACTAAAAACCGCGAACTGTGAGCTTGTGCCAAGATCTCATCCCTTAGACCTTTATCGTCTGGCACCCTAACTCAGTTTTTATACATGAACATACCATTCTCCGCTGTGTGGAATCCCTCAACATTGTTTTCCATTGCCTTTTTCAAATCAACATTAGATTTTTGTTCATCCCGTATTCTCCATAGTAAGTCTGCCTGATTCACAGCTTCTAATCCAACAACGTCTTCTCCAGCAGGGGTCGCACAAATATTCAGAGCACACAATGTATCTTCCAGCTCTTGTATCTCTTTTTCACTCGAGATATCACTCCTACGCCTGCCCAAGGCGTCAGCAACCAAATTGACCTTTCCTGGATGGTAGGCAATGTCCAAGTCATAATCAGCTAACAACTCTGTCCATCTCCTCTGCCTGAGGTTAAGGTCCGATTGAGTGAAAATATACTTCAGACTTTTATGGTCCGTAAACACCTGAACCTTCTCCCCATACAGGTATGCTCGCAAAATCTTTAGAGCGAATACTACAGCTACTAACTCCAAATCATGAGTAGGGTAGTTAACCTCGTCTGGTCTTAGCTGCCTCGAT